AAGTAAGGTGGCTAGAAGATGATACTTATAATCATAGAAATAAATATTCAGCTAGCAAGAAATAGTACCTATTATTAACTTGCTAAAACTAATCGCCTTTATAATTTTTTGCCTTCATAATTTTGCCAATTCAACTAATCCTCTTTTTTGGCATCTGGGACACATTTTTTTCTGTTGAAATATATATGCATAAAATTTATGAAGGAATTAATAAAATTCCTGAAGTAAACAGCTGTTATTTTCCACAGAACTTTTAAAGTGATTTTTCAAAAGAAATACTTCTCAAAGGAAGCTTTAACAAGTAGAAAACTGGAATTGAGAAAGAGGAAAGATGATTTCCTTTCTCAACAATTCCTAAAAGCCAGTTCCTAAATCTTCTAATCTCAGATTGTATTAAAGTTTGCCTCAAATGAAAGCAAGCGGGAGCCTACTGAAGAACATAAACATTCTCAGCAGGCAGCGTGGTGTTTGAAGACTTCAAAGATAAGATGATATGGAGGGAACAAAGATTATTTTTTCCTATTTTGCCCAGATTTTGTCCTCAACTGGTTTCCAGGGAATTTGAGTCTTCATTGTTTTGTCTAAAAAGTGTACTAAAATACTTCAAAAATCACAAGAATTGTCAGTCATAATTAGAGCTTCTCTGAGGGCACGAATTCACATATTGCTAAAGGAGAAAAGAGACTTTTTCAAAGTATACTTTCAAAGTTTCACAGAATAACGACTTGGATTTGGAATCACTGACAAAAGTGTTCAGAAATTCTGTCATTAAATGTTAGAGAAAAACGACAAGACCATATGAGGTCCTGTCTTTTCCCCAACTCCCCAAGGAGGATTCTGGCTTGGTCGCCTTAGTCTTGTCCCTTCCTCTGTTCTCTGGAGAGCCAGACTCTACCTTTGGACTCCCCAAAATAAAATGGGGGAGGAAAGGAGAAACTGGGAAAGAAAGGGATGCAGAGGTGGGAGGTGGAGGATTTCGGAGGAATATAGGATAGAAAAGAAAGAACAGGTGATATGTGACAGAAGCATATGGAAAAGGGAAAAAAAGGATATTTAAAAAGATTGCTTGGACCCCTTTGATGGTTCTCGAAATGCACAAGCAAAAGAGTTATTTTGAAATTATTCTTTAGTGGCCCTGACATCTCTCCAAGACTGAACCACGTGAGTCCCTGCTTTATGCAGATGTATTTACAGCTGTCGGTAAAAAGGATCAGTTCAGTTCTCCATTCTTTACATAGGGACTGGGTTTGCCAGTTTCCTTAATGAACAAGTTTGTAATTTAGATATATAGAACCTGACTAGTTAGACAGGGGAGCTAGACGTTTGAGTCCTCTAGACTTTTGCAAATTTTAATTTCTCAATTAGATTTGCTGTCCAGTGTTCTAAGGGAGAGGGAAAGGAAAACAAAAATTTTTCCAGAATGGCATGTGTTTCTCAGGAGTGATAACGGCTAGCACAGTGAAAGATTAGTTTACATGCTGATATATGTAGATAGATACATGAATAAATCAAAGAAAAGATGCCATGTCATATGAAAGATTTTTCTCTCCTTCCCAGAAGTATAATAAATTATCTTTCATAGTTAATGAAATTCTGATTTTATAGGAACTTTGGAAATCCTCGAACTCATGGTTCTTTGCCCTCCTTTAGGCTATTGGTTTACTTCTATTCTTAGTTCTTCAAATGAGTCCAGCTGTAAGTCTAAAGTAGTGGTTCTCAACCAGGAATGATTTCTTTACTCCCCCCCTCTTAGGGACATTTGGCAGTGTCCAGAGACATTTTTAGTTGTCATGACTTGGGGGCAAGGTGCTACTGGCATCTACTTGGGTAGAAGCCAGGGACACTGTAAAATATCCTGCAACGCACAGGACAGCCTTCCACAGCAAAGAAGGATCTGGCCCCAAATATCAATAGTGTCTAGATTGAGAAACCCTCATTAGAGCCTCCTTCTGCGATTACCTTGGTGTCTGCTTCTCTAGTCACAGCCTCTTAGCTTCCACATGCCTGCTGTGTTTCAGAGCCAGTCGCTTGCCTTCATTCTAACACCAATTTCTCAACGTATCTTCATTAAACCACTGAACTTTTCCACCTGGCATCTTTGTTAATAATCTTTGCTTGAGGGGAACATGGTGTGCGGCCCAATACAGTACAGTAATTAGCCATGTGGGCTCTGGGTACAGACTGTCTGAGTTCAAATCCCAATTCCATCCCTTACTACTTGTAAACCTTGGCCAACTTTCTCTTTTTGTGCCTCAGCTTTCCCACCTAAAAAAAAAGGTGAGTAAAAATGGTATCCTACTGCAGAGAATTGTTGTGAGAGTTAAATGAGTTAATACTTGTAAAGCACTAACCATGTTGCCTGAAGCCTAAGTGCTTAATAAATGTTAGTTATTATTCTTTCTTAAGAGCCCACCAAGGTTCAAGTTCTCCAACTTACTTCCTTCTCTCTCCTCCAAATCTGGGGAGCAGGTAGATTTTATTCATGATGGTGTCTCTTAAATGTTTGCCTAAGCTGAAAATTTTTTTCATTTTTCTAATGGTCAGGGTTTTTAAATGTAGAAAGGCAGGAAGTACTCTGTTTTCCTCTCTCTGGTTTGGTTACCCATATCCCCTGCTTGAGGCAAAGAACACTTTGTTGCATGAAGATGTGAGATGGGAAAGAGAGCAAAGGGCAAATATCTCAAAACATTGTTGTGGATGACACGCAATTCTTAGTCTATCGATGGGAACTGACAGGTGAATGGATGAGAGGATGGATGTATCACAGGCAAAGCCTAAAATTCTGGCATGAGTGACCATATGGATCGTGATGCCTTTCACAGTGATGGGATTTATAGAAATAAGATAAAGTTTGGGGACAAACTGGTGAGTTCACTTTTGTCCGTGAGTTTGTGGTGCTTGTAGGAAATGGAAATATTCCTGTCCTCCAGAAAGAGGAGTGTGTATGGATTTAATCTCAAGTGAGAGAATAGAGCTGGACATGTGGATTTAGGAATTTTGGGCAAATAAATGGTAATTGAGTCAATGAGATGTAAACAACTATATAAAAAGGAGGTAGCTGAGTCAGAAAAGTAGTTTCTGGAGGGATGGATGAATGGATGGATGGGCAGAACAAGAACTCACAGAGGAGACAGAATGAAGCACCAGGATCAGAAAGGAAGGATGAAGACTAGGAGAGAATCATGTCATGGAATACAAGGGAGTCAACAGAGTCACACGTCATAGAGAAGTCAGGTAAGATAAAGACTGAAAAGTGTCCATTGGATATGGCAACAGATAGATCATTTTTGCCTTGGTGAAAACAGAATCGGTAGACCATAGGAAGACAGGACAGATGGTAGATGATCAGAGAAAAGGCATTTCTAGTTCATTGTAGAAATATATATTTAAGAAATAGCCTTCTTTAGAATTTC